CTACATTACGAGCTACAGTACTAGCGAACATACCACTGAATTCTAGAACCATCACTATATACCAATGTAGGAAAAGTTTCACTTGCCTAAGATTATCCATTTATGCATGTAACTGGTCAAGGTACACACACCGGTAGAGCGTCCGCAACGCGCACACTAATCGCGTCAGGGAGAAGTTGGAAGCTTTCAAGAAGTTGCAAAGTAAGCTGAGTGTAGTACGAGATCCTAATACTAAGCATGTAAAGCTTTATATACAGGACTGAACCCCTTTTTTCAGGCAACATATATACAAAACAGAATGGCTACAATAATGAACTGGATCAAGCTTTACATGCGAAGGTACCATGTTTGAAGGGAGCAAGGAGTGTATCCATGAATTGAACTTTGCACGCATATTTAAATGACGTGCAAAGCACGTAGTACAATTTACTAGTATTGACTTGTTGAGTAGTCTGAATTAAGTGGTGCCTAACCCTAACATAGCATGCCCCATATTTTTGTGATTTACCATTAGTGCGGAGTATTTGGTGACCTCAGCCTACAAGAGACAATTTCCTAGTGCCACACAATCATCAATGCAATGCATAATTTTAAAGGTTTGGGAACCCGTAAGACGTAAATTCTTTGTGTAGCTCATCTCCCAAAATAGGGATTTGGACAAAGTGTCGTCTTTAGTGGCAAGGATGGCCAAACCTTGGCATTTTCTCTATTTGCGAATGAATGCCCAAATGGCTTGACTCGTCTTCTCTTCCAATACAACTACACGCTTCGCACGTGGTGAATGCCAGATGCTTGGCTTTGGCTTTTCAGCCGTGACATGTCCCTATTGGTGATGAATATCTCAGTTAAAGATTGGTGGCTCACCGATTTATTTGGCAAAATTTCATACGCGGATCATCGAATGAAGGTCATGGTGACCCTCGTGATGCATATCCACTAGACAATTTGGAATGAGGGAAACAAAGACATTTTCGAGGTGTTTCCACGATGCCGTCCATCATCCTCTCGGAGATCAGAAATCGGGTAGGATATTAGGCAAGACCCATGCCAAGCATTTTGCTGGTGGAGTGGACCTTCGTACTCTTTTTTTGCTTACTTCTCTTTTCTTATATGCGAGGCACTCTTAATCAATGGAACGTGGCAAATATTTTCCCTCCATTCCGAGGAAGAACTTGAAGCAATTTTCTTTTTTTATTTTGCAAATATGTAATTTTCCTTTTCCGAACATGGAACGTAAGTTTTTCTTTTCTTTTTTTTTTGCGGGAAAAACTTGGAAGATAAGTTTCTTGGATACTTTAGAATAAAAAGCACGAGATATGCCATGTTTTTCTGTTAGTTGTCCATCAACGACATCCAAATTAATGACATTAGTGCCCGAAGCTCATAAGTCTTTTTTTTTGTTGAGGGGGTCATAAGTCATATCTTGATGTGTCAATATGCACCGGGCTGCCGCCAACAAAAAACAACTCCACGACACTGAAAGCCAGAACGGATGTGCATGATCACTAATCGGCTGTGAACAATTTCTCCATGGGGGGCAAGCAACCACTTACCCCTGAACTTTCATTTTCATCCACCAAATCACCACATCAAATCAACCGGTTCACACAACCGTAATCCAAATCCAAATCCGTCCCACATGCCATCCACAAAACAAAATAAAAACACATGTGAGCAGTGAGCACAAGACAAAAGGGGAATATGCTGCCTACCTATCCATCAACCCATCATCTATCGGTGACAGATAGAGATGCCATGCCGAGTATCGGTGTATCGCCATATGGTTGATCCCCAGCCGTCCCTTCCACTACTGGCTGCGCGCGCTGTGCCGGGCGGGCGATCAATCTCTTCTCTCGGACGGCCATAACGCACCATGCGGTTCGCCGTCAGATTCCTGCGCTGCAGGGTCATTGTTGCAGGGAAAGAAACGAACGCCGGCAGTCTCCGGCCGTGATAGCGAGGCCAGACATGAGATGGGGTGGTAGGACAGGGAAACGGAGGGATAATGACGATAGTTGCCGGCCTTTCGAGGAAAATGTGTGGATGGAGCCTGAGGTGGCCGTCGTCGATGGTAACGGTCTTTTGGGAGGGATTGCAACTCCCACGACATATCTAGGTATGCTTTGGAATAATCAACAGTGCTTCTGATCACCATGTTCTGACCTTAGTGCGTGCGTGTACGGATGGCTAGCTGGTGGTGTGTCAGGAAGGCACTTAATTAGGCAACAGTCAAACGTGTGTTTTCGAAACGTTTCATGGCGGAGAGCTCTGGAACATGGTCTCCGTTAGCTACCGTAGTCGTCTGAGTTCACATTGTCCTGCCAACGTTTTCAAATTTTCGTCCTGCAACACAAATAAATGGATCAGACGACTATGCTTCTCAGCGTGGTAGTGGTTAAACCGTTTGCTTATAGGCGACGCCAGTCAGGAGCATGCATCACTAGAGCCATGGACTTGTGGTGGTTGACGCCTGAGAAACACATGGGCCACGCACGACGTTAACATGCATGGAGTCGCGCACACACAAAGGATCAGCTAAGAGCTTAGCCGGCCGGCCAAAGGATCATCCAAGGACGACCCGTCGCTGTACGAAGGATCCATCTCGCCGGCCGGCGTGGCACATGAGGTGAAACGTATCACGCCGCACTCCGGCGCTAGCTAATGCTTGTACCCATCAGGGGGGTTATGTGGGCTTGGAATTCCGGGAGCTTTTGGCTCGACATCCATCGGTCAGCGATCATTAGTTGCTGGTGAGGTCTCGGGGTAACTTCACATGCATGGTGTGTCTTTTTTCTTTTTTGCGAAAAAGATCAAGTATATTACTATAACAGTTCACCAACAGTGCAAAGCATCTCAACATACTAAAAATCACATCGAGATTCAAAGACCACTCAACGGCCACTATTGCCGTCAAAAGGAGCCGCCGACGCGTCGTTGTCTCCTCTCCTTTATCGGAGCCAGCTTGACCTTGTCGATGATAGCTAGAAAGTCTTCATGCACGTGCCCGAAAGGACCGGCGCCTTGGACTGGCAGTTGTCGTCATTAAACCCTTGCATAGATCTGAAGCACCTGACACCAAATCTCGCCACATGACGAGAAACTCTAACCTCACCGTCTCAAGGAGACGGCTGGAATCTATGTCGGAGATGTGTCAACTACATCTAGACGGACGAAATCAAGTAGGAGTAGAACTTGAAAGAAAACTCAAAGAAAAAAGGTTGTCATCCGCTCGAACGCCGCACCTGCAAGAACTAAAAATTCCTAACCTATTCAACCAACTGGAGCTGAGGCACCAGGCTTCCCTTCCACGGCCGGCCGCTGGAGTGGAAGGCATATGGGAGACAAATCTATGAGCTCACCAGTGAAACCTGAAGGGGAAAGTTTACCCTAGCCACCGTATTAGGAAGAAAAATATGTATATATGTAATCTATACATGCATGGATCGGTATGGTGTGTCTTTGTTGTTCCCTTGCATCGATCCTACTTTTTTGTAACTTAATTCCCTTCGTCCAAAAATATTTATTATAGAAATAGATAAAAATGCGTGTATATCTAGAACTAAAATACGTCTAGAAACATCCATTTTCTCGACAATACTGTCATGGGCACTAAAAATGTCTTGTAAGAAGTTACATTTAGTATATCATTCTGGCCGTTTGTTTATGGTGTATCGCGCACCATGTACCGCGTGTCAACATACAGATCCCTTTGCCTTTGGACGAGCATTCATTATGAGGCGATGGAAAGTCCAAATGATGGAGCGATCATTAGCGCATTATGGCGACAAGACGACTGAGGCCTAGGTCGTTTTGGGTCATATTTTATTAGAGTTGTGCAATGCCTGTTTACCCAGGAGAGATCACCTTTAATATAATAATATTGTCGGGTGTTTATAGTGGAGATGAATCACTTTTGTTGATCATCCACAGAATCTGGTGCCAGTATTTTATGCGGCGGACGTGGAAATCTTTTTCGCTTTTGTCTGTCAATTCTCGCCGAGTTTCACCTCGCGGGTGACTTGGAAAGACAGGGAGTCCATTCGCGGCCTTGATCGATCGACATCTTGTTGAACACGACGCATGGAAAAAATGTAAGGTAAAGTGGTACGGGCTGTTGAAATATATTGCCCGCCTTTCTTCATCAGTTCGGATTTTTGAATGAGTTAGCTGGAGTATGAATTCAATACGGGCAGTGAGATGGCAAGCCCGATACATTTCCGTCGGATTAAAAGCTGTGTTATGTAATTTCAAAAAAAAAATGTCATGTGAGCGTTGATGGCTTGGCTTTGAAAAAGGGTCCTTGGACGATTTCGGCCTCAGATGTGAGCGTTGAGGTCGTATCTGGTGCAATACTGCAATCACGTCATTATATTACCTGCACACACTGATATGCATGTGTCGCCCATTATATTTTTCTTCCTTTTCAAGACCACTGGCTTTACACGCGGTCCTTTATTCAATTACTCGATGCTTATTTTATACAGAAGAGTTTGAGACGTCCACAATCATGTGCCAATGATCATGGAGACATGTCCTTGTGTCCACAATCATGTGCCAATGATCGTGGAGACATGTCCTAGGGCGCATCCTGACATGATTGTGCTAGGGCACATCCATTTGTATATAGTCGTGTCAGGATGCGCCCTAGCATCTCGTGTGCACTACCACGGCTAGCTTTTGCCGCGAGTCGGGTTATTCTAAGGGTATTTTTTTCTCTCTTTTTGACAGCCAGGCTTTTGCATCTTCTAGAGCGAAATCTCAGTGGCATGCGGATGTGGTGGTTGGTGTTGCACGTGTGTGCGTGTGCACGCATCAGGTAAATACAGATGCATACGACGGGAGCACCAGCGGATTTCCGGCAACGCCATAACATATTCTGGGCTTTGGGCTTTTTCTCTCCGTCGCACAACAAAGCCTAGAGGCAGTAGGCCCACATGAGACGCACATGCTGGCCCAAGAGCCTAGGTCAGGGCTTTACACACTTGGACAGTCCTTAAAAATTACTGAATGGACCTAAGGAAACAAGTCGACCACACAAGAAAAGAACAGATATCTTAATACCATCTTAAAACGCAATCACACTACAGAGTGGAGCAAGCTCCAAAATCTCAAAATCGTCGTATCCTACCTCCTTTTACATATCGCTTACATGTCAGCATTTTCAGTTTACAGCAAACCAGGCAGGCAGGGCCAAGATGATTTACCTCTTCTTTCCCAAGAGGTCACCTCGGCGCTTAGCCTCTCTCTCCGCTGTCTGGACGTAGAATTCAGCCCCGAGCATGTCGTTTATCTCGACATTTGATGATACGCTCGCTTCCGCGGTCTGAATTATCAGCTCGACGGTCAGAGTGAATCCTAGGGCTGAAAGCACGCGCACAGCATTGGCAAGACGGCAAATGTGTCTCCTTGTTTCTATTGGGGTAAAAGTCTCCGCTTCAGCGCTCAGCTTCTGTTCGTCTTCCTTCAACTCAGCAATTTCACGCACCACGACGTGCTCACTGACCCAGATGAAACCGTTGCAGCCAAGGATCAGGTCCACGTCATACTGCTCTAGATGATGGAAATGCAGCTTCCGGCGTTTTACCAGATACGCAGGCACCGTGAGCAATTGACCTCTCTGAAGCTGCATTAAGAAACTCAAGGCTATTCAATAACAAGTATCAACACATTAACATTTTTTCGATTCTGAAAAGATGAGATTGTAACTCCAGCAGTCAAACACAAATCATCAATCAATCTAAGTCATTATCAACAGTGCAAACAATACAAGGTATCAGGACTATACATTTGCTTGCTTTGCATTACTGCACAGGGTAATCAACATCAACTAGCATGCACATTAAGAGGTAGCAGATTTTTTTTCCCTGAGGACAATGGCAAGAGCTCTAGTGTCAAAAAACGTCTTATATTTTGATATGGAGGGAGTATTAAATAAGTTCAAAATAACTACAAGAGCCAGATTACAAAGGCGACACTTTCACAATATTGCATAACTAATCTGGGGGCATTGAAAGGAACAGATTCATCGCATACAATGGCAACGTAACAACATAACCTAAACTGGCAGGGCACTGCGCAATAATAGTAGCCGACAAAGAGTTGGTCTGGCATTTACCTTTCCATATTTTTGACTCCTTGCTTGTAGATGAAGAGATCCATCATGTTGGAAACCACGAACTTCAGCCTGATAAATGATTTCATGCAAAGTAGTAGCCTCAGATTTTGAATTACTGATCCAGTACAAAAGCAATAGAGAGGCTGACAAACTATAAGAAATGAGAAAGGACATAGACAAGCCATATTTCCGATATCATGAGCTTCCCTGGGGAAAAACATTAAAATGAAATGCACAGAAAACTTGAAGCTTGGATACATGAATAAACTGAAGGCAATAAAACACAGAATGCCTAATTCAGGAATCCTTGCGTGTCAGAAAACAAAATGCGTTGATTACCAAAGCCATCAGGAACTAGTTCAAAAATGCAGAGCAAAAATGTTCACGCGAGAACTCTGTGCTGTACCAACTAACTAATCATGGTAGTCCACTAACCAGATACAGAAAACTTAAAAAAAAAACAGAACGGTGCATACAGCCAAATAGACACATGATGTCTCAAATTTCATAACTCAACAATCAGATTAATTTTGACTGTACAACAGTCAGATTAATTCCAGCATCAGATGAGACCAACAGACTGGTCCAACAGTATAATCTATGAGGATTCACAATCAGCAGTGAACAAAGATTAGCCATATAAATAGCAGGAAAAATCTAACACAGCGAGGCGACTCGTAATCAGCTGGGAGCCTTGGATAAAGATGCAACTGTCCATACTGTTTTTGCCGCCCTTGAAACTCTGCAGACAGCTCTTGATGTGGTCATCCCTAGTATTGTGCATGTATTCTTTTCTGAACCACCCAAACTATAAGCCGAGCAGGAGGCAAGGGAGGCAAGCTGTGGAAAAGTGCCTAGATAAATTGATGTGAAGTACAAGGTGGAATGGGAACGGCTGAAGCATGTTGTTTTGATGCCTATGGCACAGACGATAAGCACTTGACACTTTCTGGTCTAAGTTGTTTTGATGCCTGTATAATTGGAAGGGCTGAAGCATGTTGTGCCCAGTCATGTTTCGCTTAAGAAGTTAAAAACCTGAAAAGCCATGGTAGATGGCGTGAAACTGTGTGCTCTGTGCACCCATATTTGGATTTGTTTTTTCAAAGAGGTGTGCTGGTGTTGATTCCCAGGATGCGAGGTTGGTTCTGTTCTAGAAATTAGCAAGGGCCACATTTGGGGCGTGTTCGGTAGTGGCCTGGCTTCTCAAATCCTCGACTCCAAGTGTGGAGTCCAGCCGAACGCGGCCACTCCTGGAGTTTAGCGAGAGAAGCCGGTGCGGAGCGTAGTGCATTTTTCTAGGAGTTGCGGAGCTGGTCATTCCGAGCTCCCAGCTTCTCGAGGAGTTGGAGTTGGGTCAAATTACGTGGGAATGGCACCGCCAAGTGAGCGCACCGGTTCGCGTCTTATTTCGCGAGCGACACATCCAGCGAGCGCCAAGGGATTTCCTCCCTAGTCAGGCCATATCCACCGATAGAGAAGCTCCTGATGGCCCAGCCCATCTTTCCCACACCTTTTGGACTGCCAGCCTGCTCCTGATGGGCCACAAAGGGGCGATTTTATGGGCTTCAGGTTCGCTCCCTTGTGCAAGCGAGAAGCGGTGACACCGAACAGATTGGTAGCTCCGGGATGATCATGAGAAGCTGGAGCCGGATTCCTGGAGTTGGAGTTGAGGATTTATCGTCCATGGAGGGCTACCGAACACGCCCTTGGTATGCTCTTCCACTGTCGTGATTTCTCATATCCTATTCACTGTGCACTGTTTATATTTTCCATTTCCAGTTTCTAGTCCATGCAACACTCGATTTCACTTCTGTTCCATCTATTTACTACCACCATTCCGATCTGCTATTACTTATATTTTCCATCTATTTGTTACTTTGTTTAGAGTGTACGCTTTACATCTATTAGTTCCTCCACAGCTACACATCTTGGCCACCGTATGCTTCTGCCAGTTCCTACCACTTAGTCATAAATAATTATATTGGTCCACCCGGTTGCAAGATTCCTTCTATCTTCTACTTCTAGCCAAACCCATCTACTAATTTGCTGCTGCTTGCAAAGTGAAAGATCAGGGTTTCCAAAAGCCTCATATGCAATTTGAGTCGTACGATTCTGAATTAAAACAGGAACAATCACTGATCGAATGGTGTAGTGGCGAAAATGATGGCTCAACCTGATATCAACAAGATGACAAACAGAAGCAGAAGAAAATACTCCAGGACTAATAAATGCATTTGCAGTGAACACGTGCGGAGAAATATGACAAGCTGAACTCTTTGACAGCATTGTTCATTCGTATTTAGTGTTACATATGTAAGCAACAAACATAAATTCAATCATAGATAAGGGGAAAGGAGTGTGATACTTACGCAGACAACATCATTTTCTTCAAATATACTCCGCATATTAAGCTCATCAACCGCAGTTCTTCTTCTCTAATATTGGGATGGGAACAAAATATCAATTAAAAAACATTTTAGAATAATCAATAGTGACACATGTAACGTACTCCCTCAGTTTCGTAACATAAGATGTATTATGAAAATCGTTAGGACAAGGGTTTGACCAACAATTCTATATATATATCTATATCTATACCTACTAATAAAGGCAGGTGATATTCTTGGTTTGGTTTGGTCCATCGGGTATTTTTGCAAAAAAAAGAACTGACGTTTTTGTGCAATCAACCCGCACTCCATGACGTAATTTAGGAAAAAGAAACGTTTCGAGCTACCATCGTGGGCCGGCCCTTCTGCAGCGAAAAATAATTCTTGGTGTGGAGGGATCGAACCCACGCCTCCCCTTTAGGGTCGCAAGGAAAGAACCAGCTGGGCTGGCTTTCACTTCTGTCCAAAATAAGGATTCGCTTATATTAATTAATAGTACCACCTCGCTGCTTTAAACGAAATTCCACCAATTTATATGTCAGCAACTAGGACAATCAACAAGCCTCCTCAGGAATTGAAGGTAAATTTGCCAGAGACACCCAATAAATAATGGCATACATGGCAAGAAATAAAAGAGAGGCCTGATAAAGATAGAATATGCGCTATAAAAGAAATAAAAGAGAGGACGCAGAGGAGATTCGATAAAGATGGGATGTTGCGCTATTTCTCCTATAAAAGAAATAAAAGAGAGGACATGTATGACAAGAAATAAATAGTGTGATGAAATAGGGGCCAGTACCTGCGACATGTATGGCAAGAAATACATAGTGATGAAATAGACCATATCAAATGCAGCAATCTATGAGGACAAAAAATGTGTTGAACAACACCAACATCTTGTTTCAGACAGGTTGTAAACAACAAACCAAGTGACCCGTTAGCAAAGGGGTGGGTAAATTATCAGACAGACAATGTTGATGAACAACATTGGGCGAGCATAGAGGAGGCATGAGGAGTTCCGGAGCGACGTTTGACGTCAGAGTGAAGAGAGGACGAGCTCGGGACGGCGGCGCAAGGATGAGCTTGAGGTCGTGGAGCGGAGCCAGGAGCGGGAATACTGTTGAACATGCCCTAAGCTGGTGATGCTGGAACTGGAAACCGACCATGATGTCATGTCTCCGTAGTGTGCTAATGTATCATCTTCTGTTCTTGTCCATTTCTTTTACCCGTACCAACACCCCATTCCGCACATGACATGAATAAATGGATGATCACTAGCCCGTTTCTATGTACATATTAAATCTACATACATGCAAGCCGTGTTGAAATAGAAGACCTGGACCTGTGGAATCTTGAACTGTGCTTTTATAGGCTAAGACCATCTTTGTTCGGGCTGCAACTACAGATTCTCAGATTATAGACCATCTTTTGTAGACTAAGAGCACGTGGTATGTTTTTCTCCCATTGCAACGCACGGGCCCTTTTGCTAGTACTCTATTAATATGTACTTTATGTGATACTCCCTCCGATCCATATTAATTGTCGCTGCTTTAGTAAAACTTTCCGTACTCCCTCCGATCCAAATTAATTGTCGCTGCTTTAGTACAACTTTGTTGGTCAAATTATGGGTGGTTTTGAATACAAATCCAATGATATAACATTTATCTCACTCCAAGTGTATCTTAATAGACTAATTGTTGGTCAAACCATTGCTTAGCAAATCATACACCATGCCCATACACAAGGAAAAGAACGGAGTACCAAAGATGACAGTCACTGGTCTGTTTTAGCATGATGCAGCATTTCATTCTAAAATCAGAGAGAAACAGGTAAGTAATATTTCCAGCAAACCATGAAATTCCATGTTAGCTTACTGTTAAGTCAGCTAGAGAGGGTACTTTGATGCATGTTGAATTATCTGTTGACATAGTACATGGGATTATTTGCCTTGCAGATTCTATTGTGAGGATACCCCTGTGTACAGCTGCTGCCCTTTCAAACAAACTTTGGGAGTTCACACGGTAAAGGTGCAGAATAGCATACCTGAATTCCATCAGGCAAATTCATCGAAGAAAGCATCAAAACGGCATCTTGGCTAAAGTTTATCTCCAACCGCCAGCGCTTTGGAGCAATCTTGAAGAAAAAAATCAACACAGTATCTGATACTGGTCAGAAATGAAATGCATTATTTGCATGGGGGCTGAACAAGCAGAAAGTAAATCACACTGTGACGGCATGACTAAACTAACAGCTAGATTTGCCACACCCTTATTCAGATGGCCAGGTATTCAAAAGTAAATGACATGTGCCAGGATACCGATACAAATAAGTGGATCTACTACCCTATAAAATATAGCGGAACCAATTGCCCGATCCATGTATATGCTATAGAGATCTGGTTAAACACATTTCCAATTTTTAACAATGTCCAACGATACTCGTAGTTTAAAACTCAAGCTTTAAGCCAAATTGTAGAGCATTGCCATGCATTCCTGGCAGAAACCATGTCATAGAAATGAGAAGAATGTTGAAAGAGTGACACAAAGTGCACATACCTCGATGACACGGCCAACTATAATATCACCAACCTCTGGCTTATACCTGATAAGGTCGAAGAGAACAAAATGAGCCTTTCAGGTACCAGAACTAATTACAAACTCAATGCCTTACTCCCGGCTCTACAATAAGTCAATTAATATAACAAGCTATAATAAGCCCAGATACCTACAGTTTAAGCCGGCACAAATCATAAGCACCCCAGCTTTAATCCAACACACTAATATTTCAGTATGAAACTATAGTACCTCACCATGAGAACTGCACTTATCCATTCATCGAGTCAACCCCGAACCCGCTAATTCATTCATATGCACACCGTAATACTTAGTACAATAGCAGCGCCACAGCATTGCGAGGATTATCCAGCAGGAACACAGAAATGGCATTTGCTGGAAACTGACACAGCAGTGAAAAGAAGGAAGGCAGGGGGACAATACCTCGCCCGGAGCGTCCGGACGTAGACGAGCTTGTTGACCCGCTCCACGACGCCGCACAGCGTCGCCACCACCTCCCCATCCTGATCCGTCGTACCATGCCCTCTGCACGCCAAAAATACACACCCAACCAAAAAAATCAATCCGTCGTCCATCACCAAGCACGAGTGGGGAACGGATAGAGAGGGGAGGAGACGGGAAAGTATTACTTGAGGATGTTGTCCTCATGGTTGACGGGGATGTTGTCCGCGACGGTGACGGCGGCGGCGGACGCGGCCGCGGGGGCGAGGGTCTGGAGCTCGTGGAGGGCGGCCTCGAGGCGGACCCTCTGGGTCTGGTTCAGCGGGAGGTGGAGGTCTCTCATGGCCGGTACGCTGTGCCGGGAGCACTCAAGGAGAAGGAGGGATGCGTCGGCGGGTGGCGGGGGTCGGCGGCGATCGACGGCGGAAACTAGCAAAAACCCTAGTAAAACCTGCCCGGTCCACCCACCACCGTCGCGCTGAAAAGCCACTAGGTTGAGCCGGGCCGGTAACATGGAACCAAACTGGGCCTCACCCTTCAGGGCCAAGATGGGCCAGAACAAGAACGCAAGGACTAGGCGAGAGCTCCTATGTGACGCTCTTTGCGTCAAAGAGTTGACGTTTCGCTGAGGGCGGCTCACCTGGGCCGGCCCATTTGGCATTCGCAAGGTGAAAAAATGCGAAAACTGAGCGTGCTACCTCTGAGGATCGAACCCCCTGACTTTGATCTCACGCGCGCGCTGTGCTAGACACTGCGACGGGCTGGTTCTAGTGCTAGTAGTGCAGCGCAACACGTGAGGAAACTAACGACAGCGCCAAAAACGAAGGTTCACAAAAACTAAAGTCCCGTTGAGGGATCAAACCGAGGACCTCTTGCAAGAGAACCAGGTCACTAGCCACTGCAACTCCTAGGTGTCAATGTCTGAAATGGGAGCCTGCTCTATATGAACTATAAGCAGCAACATATGTAAAATAAAATAAATTTTGAACATGATTTTTTTGAAAGGTAAATATATTTTGAAACGAAAACATTTTAGAAATTGTGAACAAATTTTAAAACGTCAAACTTTTTTGAACATGGGAACATTTGTTGGGATTCTCAAACATTTTTTGAAAAAGGAACAAAATTTAAAACGAAAACGTTTTCAGGAATTTTTCAAAAGACACAAGCATTTTCTGAAAAACAGGAACAAAAATTGAAAAAGAGAACATTTTTCAAAGTTACAAATTTATTTTCCAAAGCACGACATTTTTTCAATTTGTGAACAAATTGGCAAAGCTGGAACATTTTTTGAAATTCCCGAACATTTTTTGAATTTGTTAAATTTGTTCGTGTTTCTTTGTGAACAAATTTTGAAAGTGGGAATATTTTTAAAATTTGTTCGACAACATGAACATTTATGAAATTGTGAACAAAATTTGAAAGTGAGAACATTTTTTGAATTTATGAACAAATTTGCAAAACGTGCACATACTAAAAATTGAAAATGAGAACATTTACTGATTTTTAAAATGCAAACATATATTTAAAATTTTGGAACATTTTTTGTATAAGAAGTGAAAACATATATGAAGTTCTATACTTTTTTGGAATTTGTGAACAAAATTTCAAATTAGGAACACTAAAAATATATGAACAAAATCTAAAAAGTGCAATCATTTTTTAAATTTCGGAATGTCTGTTGAAAAAGAAAAGTAAACTTGAACAGGAAAAAAGAAAAATGAAATAAATTCAAAAGAAAAGAAAATAAAACAAAAATAGAAACAGAAAAATGAAAAAAGAAAAGCCAAAAACAAAAAAGGAGGGTAAAGAAAAATGAAAAATGAACAGAAATATACAAATAAAAAATCAATACAGGAACCTTCTAGAAGGTTCCCAAAATTGGAGAAAACCAGCTGGAACCTTCCAAAACATTCCCAAAACCGGGTTCGATGTAAAGCACGCCTAGCTTTTAAATGGGTCGGCACGTCTGAGTCGATGGATGTGCGGCGCCTCGACAATTTGACGTGAAATGCGTCAAATAGGAAAATTCGTACTAGGCATTGGGGCGCCGGCCCAGAGTTTCTGCCTGTCGCGCCCTAGCCGCCCGATGCAGTGAGTCGGGTCTGTCCAATCTGCATCTCAACCCTCGACTCGTTCTTGTTCCTTCGGTCAATGCTTCCAAGAAAAGGCAATGGCTCCGCTCACGTGTCTGGTGTCCCTCCCCGTTGACGCTCCTTACGTGCGCCAGTGTCGCTTGTTCTCAGTGTGGTCCGTCCCCAGTTGCAGCACCCCTGGTTCGTCGTGGCTCGGCCGCAAGCAGGTCCTACCGGGCGAAGGTCGCAGTTCCGACAAAGGAGTGCCACCCCGTGGAGCTTGCAGCAATGTCGTTCATCGTCGAAGGCCGCATCTCCGGAGAAAGTCGTCTAGTAGTTCAACACCAGTCCTTGGAGTTCATAACCGTTGCGGCTCCGCAATGAAGTGGTCGTAGTAGTCGGTTGCATCAAAATAGTTGAAGCTTTTCGTGTCAATGAGTGTAGCTTTTTGGTTGTGTACTCGCAGGTTGAAGCTTTCTGTAAAGCCAGTTGAAGCTTTCCATAAAGCGAGCTGAAGCTTTTCAATTCAACAGCTGAAGCTTTCCAATTCAATGGTTGTAGCTTTTTTTTTTATTTCGTAGAGGTCGAATGAAAATTTCTCTATTTCATGAGATGAAACTTTTTCAAATACGATTTGAATCTTTCACATGAACGGTTGTAGCTTTTTTTAGTTGCATGGGTGGTCTGTCGAAGCTTTTTCAAACTACGGTTGAAGCTTTTCATATGAACGATTGTAGTTTTTTTAATTGCACGGTATCCGGATGAAGCTTTATATATCGTGGGTTGAAGCTTTGAAATCAAACCGTTGTAGCTTTTTGGATCATTGGTTGCAGCATTGGTGGAGGAGCAAAAATGCTTTCAAATTCATTTCAAGAGAAGTTGGTTGCAGCGGTGGGGGGAGGAGGTCGTGCCGGCGTGCTTGTAGCATCTCCGGTGGGCGGTTCCAACACGTATGCAGCTGCTCATAGACGGCATATCCCATGGCGGCTTCTAACTCCGGCTCGTCAGGGCGGAAGGAACCTGCAGGGGGCATTGGACGAAGTGGGTGTGGGCGCTAAGGTTGGAGGTAGGGACTTGAGCGGGATTAAGGCTAGCCAGCGGTGGGATCCGAAGGAGGAAAACGAGGAGCGTGGTCACCAGCAGCCGGCTGAGAGAGAGAAGGGATCGGGAGAAAGAAGGCAGAGGAAGAAGAAGATACGGTGGGGCAGGGTGATGTGCGAGAAGTATGATGGGGCCTCAACCGCGTGGCTCACGCACGACCAGCCCGAAGATTCAGCCCATCCAATGGGCACAAGCGTTTACTAAATCTATTTGGCGCAGAGGTCACTAGTTAGAGAACAACTTAATGGAGGATTGTCTCAAGAAAAAATTTAAGTGCAGGTTTACCCCTTGTGGAGACATGCTGGGTCACTTTTGGTGTTCTGAGAGTATCTCTACTCCTAAAGGGGGAGTTTGTACGTCATTTGTACCTCCCTGCACCCCTCAATCGTCTCCCCTCCCCACCTTCTATCTTTTCCTATTCCCACCTCCTGCTGGTTTTATATGTTGTTTTTCCTAATCTAAGCTGGTGAAAATAGGCCCAAATAAGAAGTCACTCGTTCCTGGCGTCGCACGAGTTGCTCCTCTTCTCCCATGCACGATGTAGTTGCCACTTTCTCTGCGACCACACCTAATCCGCCCCAATCCGATCAGTTGGCCCTTCTCCGTGGTCCTCGGTGTCGGCGTCGGCGAGCAGCACGTATTGCCTCTTGCAGATGACACGTCCTCCAATGATTGTTCCTTCTCACCTCGTGCGCCCCCACACCTTGAGCATTATATTTTCTAGCAGCGCTTCTACTACTATTACTTTTGCATAGACATAAAGTCGATGAGTTCCAATATTTTCATGTTTTGTTTTGATGGATGTTGTGGTTCTTCATTGAGTCTGGTACACGTAAAGATAGTGGGAGGAGGAGAAGGAGGATGAAGTCAAAGCGTGGTTTAATAGTAGAAAAAATATCAACAATGTTGCCTAATGTGCATGAGGATACTAAAGATGTATGTCCAACACAATTAATGTTGAACCACTAACTTATTTATATTCCCTTCACACTGCCTGTGTCAATCGCCATGGAGCCCATTCTCCTTGCACGCCTCCTCCCCCTTCATAGCGATGGCGGGTTGACACAAACATGGGGGGAGGGGATCAGAGTGCAGAGAGGGCCGGTTGGCGGGGGACTCCTCCTTCCATGCGAAGGTGAGGTGGGCATCATTCAGTTTTAAAGGAGAGGGCCCTAGGAGCGGGAAACTGAGCAGGAAGGGGAAAGTTTGGCAGAAAAAGGGAAGGATGTGTCGTGGGGGTGAGGTTTTTGTATTGGATTTGCGTATTGGAGGTAACATGGTGGATAGTTTGAATAACCGCATTTCTCGCCCCACATATGCGCTTGATTTGGGAAAGCTCGGACTGTCTCGATGGTTGAATTTTTGGGAGCCTAATGGGAGCCCGTTTGATGTCTAAACACGCCTTAAAGTATGAGGGAGAAATGAGCTGCAACTTTAGATATGGTCTTAATCAATTGTTTGATTCATTTATATGCATTGTAGCCTGTAGCAACGTACGGGGGTTCTACTAGTTCTAAATGGTGTGTCATGTTGCCTACTTGGTGTTCTTTTGGGATTTCTTTTTTTATTTTCATGTACGTGTTTTCAAGTTCAGATGAGTTTCTTTCAAGTCTTTTATGATTTTGAAGCAAAATCATGGATTTTCTGCGTAAAAACAAACTGTGTTTTGAGAGAATTACATATTTGCTTGTCATGAAGGCATAGTTGTGCTTCTTAAAAAGGGAAAAACTATGTATCTTCACAAGAAGCACATATTTGCTTCTTATGGGTTTGCTTCCGCGAGAAACATAGCTCAGAAAGACACAAATTTGCTTTCAGGCGAGCTTTGCTTCTTGGATACGGCTCGGGGGAATGTCCTGCCTGTCTTGCTGAGCGACGAACAGGGACATCCTCACAAGCATGCGTGTTGCTGCCTCCCCGCGTCATCCTATTGTTTGTTTTTCCCAATAAAAAGCAACCGCGATGAGCAACATCCAAAAAATGGGAAGAAAAGCCAGCGACAAACCCGAAAGAAGCGAAAACAAAACATCGAGAAACAAAGCGATAATAAAAGTTCCAACATAATTATACATAGACTCATACATGAAAGGTAGACATCATGACGGGTTTGACTACTCTCATACATGAAACAAAACATCATGGCTCGTACAACTACATCTGTACATCA